TCTGCTCCCCCTCGCCAAGCATGAACAAGGATTGATCGGCCGTTGAGGGAGTGAAGCCGATCGCCTCCAAGACTTCCCGCAGCTTGATGTACCATTGCCTAGGGGCTTGCTTGAGGGAATAGAGTGCTTTCTTCAGCTTCCACACTCTGCCACTCCCATCATTGTACCCCTCTGGCTGCTCCATGAGGGTCTCTTCCTCCAAAACTCCGTTGAGGAAGGCCCTTACAATATCCATTTGCTTCACCACCCATCCTTTGATGGCCACCGCGGGGAAGAGAGTTCGAAGGGTTGTACCCTTAACCACAAGGGCATATACTTCATTGTAGTCCTTCTTCTCCTGCTGCTGGTATCCCTTGGCTACAATTCTGCTCTTGTAGCGCTCGATGTTGCCATCGGCGTCGGTCTTGCGGTTGAAGATCCACTTGGAAGAGATCGCGTTCCGCCCCTGAGGTAGATTCACCAAGTCAAATGTGTTGTTCTCTATGATGCTCCCCATTTTGTCATCTGAGGCCTTCTTCCACTCCTTCCAATTGGGGCCCTCCCAAGCCTCCTTGAGATTTGTAGGCTCCCCCGGCATCTCCACCGGAGAGAAAAAGGCAAAAGCGCACTCCTCGCTGTCATCTTCCGCATCATCGCCTAGCATTTAGTGCCGAACCGGTCAAGGTTGAGTTGGCTGGTCTTCCAAGCCGGTCATAGCTCAACCTATTGGGGGGCTGAGTCTTCCTTCTCCCCATTCCTTGCAGGGACTTGGATGCTCTCATGGCGTTGCTGCAAATCTGGTCGGTTCCCGCGAGCACTTGTAGCACGAGGCGGAAGTGACGGTGCACGCTCATCACCTTGCTGCACCTCCTCCTCCTCTCTCCCCCATTCATTTGAGGAGATTGCCTTGTGATTGTGCTGCTGCTACTCAGCTCCAAGGGCAGCTTCACATGCTCCAAGCCGGTACTCTTCACCTCTCCAAGCCGCACACCACTCTTCCTTGGTTCTCCGCCTTCCACTCCTTGTACGGTAAGTTTTCCATGAACTTGCAATTTCTGATCACCAAGAACTTCTTGGTAAATGGGTCCCAAAGAAGCCATCCCTTGCTGTTTTGAGCCATGCCCAGGTGCACGGCCCATGTTGCCTTGGTTTTAAGCTTGTTGTGCGAAGTTTCTTAGGCACAAGTGCCATGCACATGCACCCGAACACCCGAAGCATATCCACCTTTGGCTTCCTTCAATCCACTCCACATAGGGCACCAATTTGTCTTCTCCCAACATGATTCAAGGCTGTGTTCATGGCCACACAAGCATGCCGCACCGCATCCGGCCAAAAGTAATTGGGAAGACCGGCTTCAATGAGAAGTCCCCGAGCCGTCTCCGTGAGTGTCCGATTCGCACGCTCGGCGATGCCGTTCATTGCAGGAGAGTAGGGCATGATAAGAGAGTGTCTTATGCCTTGCTTCTTCAGCCAAGTTGAGAAGTCCTTGCTCATGAACTCTCCCCCCACGGTCAGTGCGAATCGCCTTCACAAGCCGGTCTTGTTGCCGCTCCACCATCGGCAACCAATCGGTCTTCACCGTTTCAGCTATGTCACTCTTCTTGGGCAGCATATACACCCATGTCATGCGAGTGTAGACGTCCACAATGGTGAGGAAGTACTCTGCTCCAGCAGCTCCAAGCTTCGAGGGGCCCACCACATCCATCACCACCTCATCGAGTGGTGCCTTCGCCGTTGTCTCCAAGCTATAGAACGGATAGCAGGTGAACTTGGCTTGCGTGCATGTTAGACAGCCAAGCACCTCATTGGGCTCCCCCTTGATACATATCCCACTGACCATCTCTTGCTTAACAATCTGCTGCAAAATGGGCAACGCCACATGCCCCATTCGCCGATGCAAGGTCAGCCAATCACACTCTCCCGTAGCGGAAGTCGGGTTGGAGAAAGCGGCACTCGCAATTGTGCCCCACAAGCTCTCTCCTTTCTCCTTTGCCGCTTCTGCTTTGCTGATCTTAGGCTTCTCCTCCTCATTTCCACCACATTTGGCTGCTGCACCATTCTCCTTGGGTTCACACGCCTTGCTGGTCTCTCCAAGATTGCATTCCTTTGAGTCACTCTTGGTGTCACTTTGCTTTCCGTGATCACCGCCACCAACCGCTTCACTCTTGGTGCTGACGCTTGCTGCCACTTGCCTCCCCTTAGGCATAGGGACCACCTGGGATTTGCAACATCTCATTGTAGATGTCCCTATCCTTATGAAGGTCCCAAAGCTTCCGCTCACCAAGCCTCGCGGTATAGGTTTTGGATCCCTTGGAAGATGTGTCCATGCCGGCCTTTTGCAAACGCCGCACGGAAATCAGGCTGGCTGCTAGGTTGGGCACCCAAAGCACGTTCTTGAGGCCCAAAATATTCCCATCAGCACCCTTGAACATGGCCTTGCCCATGCATTTCACCTCTGCTCGCTGCCCCAAAGCCGATGTAACATGCTTGACCGGCAACGGTTCGAGCTCGGTGAGCAAGCCCGCACGAGGTGTCATGCTATAAGTGGCGCAACTGTCGATCACCCAAAATTCCAGAGAGTTAAGGGTGACATCTCCCATAGTAGCTGGCTCCTCAAAGCCTTCCACAGCTCCCGCTGCTGCTGCCGCTTGCGTGGAGACAAAGAAGAATTGGCCCGGGTATCGATCTTCACTCGGGCCCGTCTCGTAGTCTCCACCTTTCATGCTTACCGGTTCGCTTCCACGACCACCACGGCCTCCATGACCTCTGCCTCTTCCTCCCCTTGCTCCTCTGCCCTCTTGGCCTTGAGAAGGGGTCCAACCATTAGGCAGTTTGAAGCAATCTCTCCACATGTGGCCGGTCTTGTGGCAAAAGTGGCATTCGCCATCAAATCGACCGCGCCCACGCCCGTAGCCATTGTTGTTGTTGTTGCTGCCATATCCTCCATTACCACGGCCTCCATTGAAGTAGCTGCTTCCAAATCTACCTCCTCGCCCTCTGCCCCTTCCATGGCCGTGCCCACGGCCCATGCTTGCAACTCCGGCACCATCGGGACCCGCCAATTCACGACGGCAGAAATCTTCTTGCAAGTTTTCCCGCTTCACATCTTCGAGCGAGAGGCGGGGCAGATCTCGATTTTGGTTGATGATGAGCGAGGACCATGAGTCTGGAAGTAAGGCCAGCAGCTTGGTCTTCTTTTGAAGGTCACTGTAGTTCAGCTCAGCTTCTTCGAGCCGTGTCAACAAGTCGAAGAATTTCTGCACTCCTTCCTCCACTTGTTCGTCTTCGTCAATTCTAAGTGCCGCCATTTGCCGCTCCAAGACCACAGCCACGACCGCTGTTGCAGGAGCGTGTACACCCTTGAGAGCAGCCCATGCCTTTGGTCCCTTTGCTGGTTCATGCTGAAAAGGCTTGATGTGGCGGATTTGGCTGCTCCCCAACGCTTGCCCCAGTTGAAGATAGCCTTGTGCGCTCTTCCGCACCCACGGGCTCTTCTCCAGGTCGTTCTCGGGGCGCTTCTCCGTTCCTTCCATCACCTCCAGCAAATCATAGTGGTCAAAGATGTTCTCCATCTTGAAGGACCACTCAGCAAAGTTGTCACCGTTGAACTTGTCAAGGCCAAACACTCTAGGCTCATCCCTAGAGGGGCCGAGACTAGGTTGCACAAGAGCAATGGGTTGATCTTGGTTTTGACCTTGTGCTTGGGCGTCTTCTCTGCCTCCAGCAACTCTGCCACCCCGTTCCTCAGGTCTATGCATGGTCGAAATGGCTTCAAGGGGCTCTGATACCACTTGTTCTAACCACAATACGCTCAGATGTGCCTAAAATGATGAAATTGTGCACAGTCAGAATTCCGTCAGACAGCTTCAAATATTGATGCCGATGGCGGCACTTAGAATTGACGAATGGTCAACGAGCACATAGCCCCATGGAACGGAGAAATTCTCTGGAGATGGCTATGATGATTGGGCATGGAAGATGCAGCTCTACTTTCGACAAATTGGCCTCTTGAAGCTCATGATTGGAACGGAGCCCAGGCCAAAGGAAATGGCAGAGCAAGCGGACTGGGATGAACGTTCATCTGCTGGGTATTATCTACTGTCACAAAGCTTGGAGCTGAACCAGAGGCATCACATCATGCATCTGCTACCGGAAACTGATTGTGGGCCCAAGGCATGGGCAGTGCTCAAGGACCTGCACGCTCCGACATCGGTTGCCGCTTCTCTCATGCTGGATCGGGAGCTGTCCATGCTGCGGTTGAGCGAGAATGAACCTGTGCAGCCCGTTCTGGACAAGATGAGGGAACTCTACGCGAAATTGGCGATTGCGGGCATCACGTACCCTGAGCAGACTAAGTGTCTCAAGATGCTCAGCCTGCTGCCCGAGTCTTGGCTGCAATTTATAAGCGGACTCAGCTTGCCACAAAACCAAAGTCAATGGACATTGGAGTGGATTCGCACCAAGATTCTGGAAGAAGATTTTCGTCGCTACACACTGCGCGGAGGTGATGACAGCACCAGCGGCTATGCCATGCAAGGGACATGGAGGGATCGAGGGCGTGGCAATCGCGGTCGCTCTTACTACAGCCAAGGTGGTCGCGGGACTTGGAACCAGCGGGGGCGTGGTGGCGCTGGTGCAAGAGGAAGAGGTGGTCACTCCAACAATGACAACAGTGAACCACGCTTGAGGGGAGAGTGCTGGTATTGCAAGGAAGAAGGGCATCCATGGTTTCGCTGCTCTACCAAGCCCGACTGGTGGACCCCTTGGAACCAATCGCAAAAGGGGAATGGAGGAAAGCAACCACGTGGAGGTGCCAACATGGTAGCTGATCCTGCTGAAGAAACCTCCAAGGATGACAGAGGAATGGGAAATGAGGAGAGGAATGCTGGACAGTTCTACCATGTGTGTGACAAAGATGACAGTGGCACAGCTGTTGCAAGGGCTGGAGAGGAATTGCACCCGCTTGACATGTGGGTCATGGACTCTGGTGCTGCATGGACAATGACACCACGCAAGGACTTGCTGGATGCTGTGCGAGCGCCTCCAATCTCTGAAGTGCGCTCAGCATCCGGACATGCAGTGAAGGTCGCTGGAGTTGGTCGAGCTGCATTCAGAGCACCTGATGGTGGACTGGTTGTGCTGAAGGATGTCTTACTCGTACCGGGGCTGAAGGCCAATCTGATATCGCTGCGCAAGCTAGGCCAGGCCGGAGTCAGCACCACCACCAATGGATCCAAAACATTCAAGGGGCTGCGAGGAGATCGTGTGTTATGGGATTTACACGAAAGCAGGGATGTCTTCAAATCCATGTGGCAGATCCCTGCGCTGATATGGGAATCAACAAAGAAGGAGCTGGGAGTAGTAAAGGCGGGATCTGGAGTCCAGGGGGAGTGCAATGCAGTTAGTGCTGCAGGAGTGATGGTTTCTGCAAGGTCGGGGGAGACTGATTGGGAAACCGCACACAGGCGTCTAGGGCATGTGGCTATGCCATTGCTGCAGCAACTGCATAAGGAAGAAGCAGTAAAGGGGCTGAAGCTTTCTGGGCAACCAAATGATACCAAGTGCGAGACGTGTCTGCTGAGCAAGTTCACACGGTTCCCCTTTCACGGTGTAGCTGGGAAAAGCAAGGCAGCACTGGAACTGGTGCACATGGACCTGGTAGGACCTTTTCCAGTTCAAGGAAGAAAGGGGGAAAGATACTTCCTAACAATAGTTGATGACTGGAGCCGGCTGATGTGGGCATACCCGTTGAAGCAGAAGGATCATGCTGCCTCAACAATACGAGATGACTGGCTGCCGCTCGTCGAGCGACAATCTGGGCACCCATGCAAGAGCATCAGAACCGACCGAGGTGGAGAGTTTCTAGGAGGAGATCTGACTGCGTGGCTCAAGAAACAAGGCATTGAGCATCAGCTAACGACGTCCTATACCCCTCAGTCAAATGGCGTTGCTGAGAGGGCTAATAGGACCATCCTGGAAACTGCGCGAGCGCTGCTGATCGAATCAGGGCTGGGGAACTCCATGTGGCCTCACGCGGTGAGGCATGCTACAGTGGCAAGGAACCGCGTACTCACAAAGGTAGCTGATGATATGTGGGTGCCGCTGGAGAGGTGGCTTGGAAAGAAGCCTCCAGTGGACATGCTCAGAGTGTTCGGATGCATGGCAGTGGCGCATGTCCCTAAACCGTACAGGACAAAGCTTGGAGCATCTGCACTGTGGTGTGTGCACCTTGGGCTTGCGGCAGAGAGCAAGGGGTGGCTACTCTGGGAGCCCTCAAAGAATGTGCTGTTTGACAGTCGGGATGTCAAATTTGTGGAGAACATCATGTATGGCAAGTGGGAGAAGCAGCCGGAGGCAAGGGTCACCCAGCAGCTGGAAGAGATCACTATGCACTTCGATCTGTCCGAACCTGTGGACAGCGAAGTCACTGCGCCAACGGCAAGCGGTACTGATGAAGGAAGCAATGAGGATATTGCAGCTGATGCTGAAGTCAAGGATCCGGAGCAGCAGCAGCAAGAGGCTTCCAAAACACCAAGTCTGCCAAAGCGAAGGAAACAGATTGGTGGGGGGACAAAGGATTGGGTGAAGGTGAAAGAATGGGTAAATCCAACCATCTACCCTGCACGTACCAGAATGGCAACAAGAAAGCTGCTGAGCTCTACAAGTGAAGGAGCCACAACTGAGCAGCAGGAACAGGCTCAAGGCGAAGATACAGTGCTGTTCTTGGGTGATGACCAAGAGTCAGATGACGAGGAGCCTGCATACTGCTTTTACGCACCAATACAACCTCCGAGCATGGATCATGCGCTAGCCGGGCCTCAACGGGGGAAATGGCTCGTTTCAAGAGATGCAGAGTACAACAGCCAGATGGAGAACCACACATGGGACCTGGTGTACTTGCCAAATGGGAAGAAGGCAATACAGTGCAAGTGGCTGGCAAAAATCAAGACGGATGAGAAAGGAGAGCCATCAGTTTACAAGAGCAGGCTGGTGGCAAAGGGGTTTCAGCAGAAAGAGAAGGAAGATTACAAAGAAGTGTTTGCCCCAACTGCTAAGTCTCCAACGCTACGTGTGCTGCTGGCGGTAGCTGCTGTGCGCAAATGGAAGGTGAAGCAGATGGACATCGTAACCGCTTTTCTGTACGGCATTGTGGAAGAGGAGGTGTACATGGTTCAACCACCTGGCTATGAGGATGGAACCGGTCGTGTCTGCAAACTTAACAAGGCCATCTATGGCTTGAAGCAGGCCCCGAGATGCTGGTACAACAGGCTGGCCAGTGCACTGGAAGGGATTGGATTCCGTGCGAGTGCATGCGACGAGAGCCTGTTCCTGATGGGAGAGGGGGAGTCACTTGTGCTTCTGCTGGTGTACGTGGATGACATCCTGCTCTTCAGCAGCAGTGACAAGGAGATCGATGGGGTGCAGCGGAAGCTCACAGAGCAGTTCAAGTGCAAGTCACTTGGACAGGCAAGGTACTACCTGGGAATGCATATTGAGCGGGATACTGAACGTGGCTGGCTCAAACTGCATCAGGGACAATACATCAACACCTTGGCTGAGAAGTACTCTCTGCAGGAAGAACGGGAAGTGGTCACACCTTTGCCTTCCGAGTTCAAACTCATAAAGGCAGCTGAAGGAGAAGGAGTTGAGAGTGAAGACCAGAGGCAATTCCAATCCATGGTCGGGAGCCTACTCTACGCTGCTGTGCATACTCGGCCTGACATCAGCTTTGCTGTGGGACAGCTGGCTCGAGTAGTGCAAAATCCAACAGAAGAGCAGTGTGGTGCAGCGGAGAGAGTGGTGCGCTACCTCAAGTCATACCCTACAGTGGGAGTACAGTATTCAGCCTCTGCTCAACTCAGTCAAAAAGGAATTGAAGTCGTCAAAGAGAAGGGGGAGCAGCTCGGAGAAGGAAAGGTGTTCCTTTCCTGTTTTGCTGATGCCACGTGGGCTTCTGAGCATGAGGATTCATCATCAGTTCGTGGATACATCTGCATGGTGGGAGGTGGGCCTGTAAGTTGGAGGTCCAAGAAGCAGTCTGAGACGGCACTATCTTCAGTGGAATCTGAGTACATGGCGATGTTTCATGCGGCAAAAGAAATCATCTGGCTAAGGAGGCTCTTGAAGGAGATCGGCCATGAACAGACTTGTGCGACACCTCTGTTCAGTGATAGCAAGGGAGCCATTGCCATGGCACGCAATGCAGTTCTTCATGGGTTGAACAAGCACATGAGGATCAAGTGGCATTGGCTGCGGAAGGAGGTGAAGCTTGGGACACTGGATCCGATCTACGTGAAAACTCAGCAACAGCCAGCCGACTTCCTTACCAAGCGGCTAGCTGAAGAGCCACACTGGCGCTGTGCGAGGATGGCGGGAATGTCC